TTAGTAAAAAGTTGTCAATAAGAAAAAATGCAAACAAATATTTGTTCTAATTTTTACCGAGTAAAATATAGTAACATTATAATAAACACTACTGTAATTGTTAGTTTTAAATTGCAAATCGAATGGTTAAATTTTATTTTAATGTATTTTTGATCAATTTGTTGTTGTTTAAAATCTTAAAACATTTTACTTTAAGTACGTGTACACAACGCATGTGTCTAATCTAACATGGTTAGCGATATTGGTTCAATAGTTTTTTAAATATAATTTTACCATTTATATGTCTACAGGTCTATATTTTGTATACAATAATATATACTGATTTCTATAGAAATTTTATACTTATTTATCTATGTATATAAAATTATCTTGTCACAGCGATTGTTATTGAACTCCTCCGAAACGACTTGACTGATTTTATTGAAATTTTCTGTGTATATTTGGCAGGTCTGAGAATAGCTTCTAAACTATTATTAAAACACCTAGTTGTTAAGGGTGGCCCTACCCAAACGTATAAATTGTCAACTATTTTTTGAAATTTTTTACAACATGACCCATGTGTTAATCTGAATCGTCTATAGTCTTACATGATAGATGGTAAATGTACAAATGGTTTTCCGAAAAATCTCACTAACGATACTATAACTAATGTCGACCGTTATCCAATATATCGTCGAAAAAATACCTATAATAGTGGACAATCCTTTATAAAAAAATATTAACGGGCAAACGTAAAATAAAAATTTCTTAAATAGAAACTACCATTTTTGACACTGGATTTGGTTCGCTCTATTTTTTTTTTTTTTTTGAACAACTTTGATCTTTACAGTTTTTAGAAACTGTATAATAAAATATGAAAAATAAAATTTAATTAAGGCCGTAACTGGGGGATCCAGGGGTCCGGACCCCCCCCCCCCGAAATTTTGAAAAGTAGAAACATTTTAGCAATGCATATAGTTTATTAACTATAAATTGTATTAAATAACAATGTTAGACCCCCCCCTCCGAAATTTTTTTCCAGTTACGGCCTTGTATTTAATATCAATTTTCGTAAGTATTCAAAGGATTTTTTAAATTAGTCTCTTCGCTTCTTGGGAAAGTTGCCAGGACACTTAAGGCAGCTGACATATAGAACATAGTGAGTCACAACGTGACAATTGTGGTCTGTAGATACTGCATGATATTAAATCCGTATTGGTTATGTATTTGTTGTAGTTGTATTGTTTATAAATGCTAATCAATGAGAGGTGTAATAATGAATCTTCATAATCGAAATGCTAGTATTAACTCATTAAATAAATGATACAC